CTCCCTTCTGTTTAACCTGCATTTTGATTTCCATACCATCTAACCATAAGCTTCATAAAATGTGGTTTCATGTATTTCTGTACATACATATATTATTGAAACAGCAGCCAAATGCTTACACATTTTTCCTCCTAAATTTATTCATTAAGGTCCCTTTCCCACCTTTACATAAATGCTTATTTTTGTTTTACCTTAATGAGGAGATTTTGGGTGGGGTGGTGTAGGGTAAGGTGGGTGAAGGAGAGGACAGGCTATGAGGCCCAGCCACTAAATGGGAAGTGACATAAGCATTCAGTGTGCTTGGTAACATTATTCTAGCTTTTCTTGTTGCTGGTGATTCTGAAAGTCATCCTACTTACTCACTCCCATATTGTCCCTTGACTTCTGGAAAGTTAGTGAGACCTCTCTGGTGGATGCCACATAATGCCAGGAGCTCAGCAGCAACGTCTAAATCCCTTGCACCCTTGCTTGGCAGTTGGGACTGGTGGCCCCTCTGCCACTCCAGGTGGAAGCAGCCTGTTCAAAAATACTCAGTCCACTAGAAGCCTGGGTGAGAATAAGGTTGCAGGGGAATCATTGCCTTTCTGTCCCAGTGTGGAGACATCAGCTGGGCACTGGATTGAGGCAAACATGTGGCTACTCTTTTCTGGTCCCAAGGTGCTTTTGTATGTGAAGAACCTCAACAGGACGTGTTGGAGATGAGCAGGATTGTGCACCTGCCTGTGCCTTGCTGTGAAATAATGTGATGCAATGTTCAGCTTATCTCTTACGTCCTGCTATATATGGTTTCTAATAGTTTCAAAAGCAGCAATTAAAAATGATACATTGCTGAACACTATGAGTCATCGGCTGAGTTTCTCAAGATGATGGCGTTAGCTGGAGCTGGGATTTGCTGGATGAATGCCCTTTGGTAATGCAGTAGCTGCTGCATTGTACTGAAGGTTATAATTTATAGGGGCTGAAAAGCATAGCTTTTCCTGTAATTGAAAATGTTCTCTAAAGGCATTTCATTGGCAGTCTTCAAGTTAACATAATTTATTAAACTAAAACAACAATGAAAACCATTTTCAATTTATCTTTTCTTTTACTACAGTAGAACATAGTGATGACTGATATCACCCAGAATTGATAGGGCAGGTACATGTAAGCCTGTAATGTGGGGTTGCCAAGTTCAGGAGTGTGCCTCTGTTATCTTGAATAGCTATGTGGATGCCCATGTCCTTTCTACCACCACAGTTTTGCAACAATGAAAGAAGATGAAGCTCATCAATAGCTACCTTCCCCACATTAGCTGTGGCATTGCTTAAATTGTTGGTTTTCAAAGTATCTTCCTGGAAACGCTGTGGTTTCTCAGAGGCGTATTAGCGACTTCCTTGAGATATAATCTGTAATGTTGCACAAGGGTCCTTCAAATACAGCTTGTCAGCCATCATGGTCACATCCACACCATATGTTTAAAGTACATTGATACCACTTTAATAGTCATGACTTCCCCTGGGAATAAGAGTTTCCCCTCAAAGAGGTACAGTTTCCAACTTCCGGGGTGGCGCCACCGGCAATGGCGGACTCCCTCTGAACTGGAGGGACTAGCTCCGCGGGAAACGGGTCTTCTCCGCTACGGCGAAGCGGGGACCCTCTTAAAAATCACAGGCGGATGAAGCCTGTGACCATGGGACTCGGCGGGCACCTTTAGCGCCCCCCCAACCCGCTAAGGAACCCACTAACGGGCTCCGAAGTGAAGAGGGGGAAGTGGCGCGGTGCTGTGAGTCAACTGCTATTTCCGTGGAGCGAAGCCGCATAGCTGTTGCCGGAGAGCGCTGCCTTTTTCCTGGGACAATTTGGACTCTAAAATAAGCACCCGTGAGTACTTAGACTTTGAATAATTGGACATCAAATAAGGACTAGCGAGCAGGAAAGAATTGGATTTTAAAAATTCTACTCTAATTTGGTACGGAATGGGAAGGTCTAAACAGGAAGTCAGCCTTCCGTTCTTTTGTAAACAGAATAAAGCAAAGACAATTTAAACTAGAGCTCAGAAAATCGTTTTTAAAAGATTGGATTTCACCATTTAAAATTGTGGAACCCCCCTTTGACAGCAGGAGAAGGGGGGGATCTTTTTGGATTGTTTAAAGTGACTTTAAAGTAAAGTAACTTTCCTCCGTCCTGATCCTGGAGCGGGGTGTCAGGACTGATGTTTGAAGTTCATTGACCAAAGACAAGTGTTTTTGACAGATAGCTAAAAGAAGAGAAACATAGTGACTCCACTGTTCCCTTTCGCATTTTAAAGGAATATATATGGACAAAGTATCTTAAAAAAGGAAACTTTGTTGCAAGAACAAATAGAAGTCTCCCCCTAGGGGAGTCTGTGAAACTGTAACTAACTCCAGGGAGCCGGCAGCTGTCACAGATTACAACCGTGGGAACAGGCATCTGACCTTGTAGGACAATGTATTCAGAAGCTTTGTTGTGTGCTCTCTATAAAACAAATGCCCTACTGGAACAATTACACGAGAAGGTGAATTGGATGGCGACTTCGACTAGAAATTTTGAACAGGCAGTGGGAAACTTTGAACAGACAGTAGGAAAATATGTGGAGCCCACTCAGGAATTAAATCAGGAGTGTGTCTTGACAGAACAGGCCCAACAGGAATATGATTTTTCGGATTTGACAAATGAACTTGGAAAAAGCCAGATTTGGAAAGGAAAAGTTTGGCTTGGTTTGGAAATGGGGGGCTGGATTGACCCCCCTATGCTGGGATGTTAGGACTTTTCAAATAAGGCAATGGGCCGTGAGATGTTTGGGACTGTGGGGGCTCTTAATTTTGGAGGGTCTTTGAAACATGCTTTTAAATACTACATGGAATTCAGTGTTGAACATGGAAAAGGGGCTGATCCGTCGAGAAGGGTCAAAAACATTGTCAAGCTGGAGTTACCACGAGCAGGAGACAAGGGAAAATACAGTTACAAATATGAAGAAGAGCCGCGGAAGGGACATGGAAGAGACTTGAGGGCCTCGGATATAAGGTTGCCAGGTTAATGGGCCAGATCGACGGGAATAAGGACTGACAAAACCCGGAACCAGGAGGAAGGGACGTTGGATGAAGATTGGATTTGTTTGTATCTCTTTTCTCTACCATTAGAACTGTTTTATAAAATTGATGAATGTTAGAAAAATGTTGGAATGAAATTACTTGGCTTTAGCAAAGATGTTTAAAGAATTATGAAAGAATATTATGGTTATGAGAAGTTGGTAAGGATAAGATTTAAGTTTTAAGCTTTAAGATTTATTTTATTATAGAAAGATAATATCAAAACAGATTAGGGTAATGCAATGACAGAATATTATGAAATATGGAAAGGATTTGCTGGGATAATTAATAACTAGGATACAAAGAAAGGGAGGAGGAGGAGGTCTAAGAAAGAAGGCAATGACAGTTAAGGATCTGAAAATAATGAATTTGTTTTTAAATGTTTTTAAAGGTTTGTGATGTATTTTTGTATTATTTTTTTTCTGTCACTTTTTCTTATTTTGAATTTTTTACTCATATGGTGGGAAGGGGTTGGGTTCCCCCCCCCCTTTTCTACTTTGTCAACTATTTTTATTTTGTACTTTCTTCTGTTTCTATTTTATTTTTCTCCTTTTTGTAACATTTTGAAAATTTCAATAAATATCTTTAAAAAAAACAAAAACAAAGAGGTACAGTTTCCAGCTTAACAAACTACAGTTCCCAGGATTCTTGAGAGGGGGAAGGCATGTGCCGCTTATAGGGAAAATGTATGATGTGGATGTGACCTAAGATAGAGCTGGGTGTCCCAAGCCCACCACAGATTACCTTGGAAAGAATATGAGATCTTTCCAAAAGAGAGGGGGGAGTTTTCCTCTCCAAGCCAATCTGAAAGCTCATAAAAATATCCTCCAGCCCCCACTATCCACTTCAATCTCCCAAAGGCCTCCCAACCAGTTCTCCACCCACCAACCTCACCAGTCCCTTTCAGTCAGTAGAAGTGGTTGGAGCAGCAGTGATAGTGTACAAGGGCAGCAGTGGAGGGAGGTTTTCCCCTTCCCATCCTCCTTTACCATCCCCAAGGCACTCTGGATAACAGCATCAGGCAGAAAACCAAGGGATCAAGAGAGAAGTAGTTTCCTTGAGGGCTGTTGGCTATCTTTGCTGCTTAGGAGGTCAGGACTTCAATGCAAATCTTCTGTTCTTGCTGGTGGCCAGGGTTCCAACCCATGTGTGTGTATGTTTGTACAAATCACAGGTTGAAGAGTCACCAGAGTGCATACTGCTAGTCCTGGTTCCAAACCCAGGAAGGAAGATCAGGTAAAACAGTAGTCAGGTTACATCAAGGCACAGTCAGGTGTAGTAGACTTTAAGTTCAGATAAGCAAGGTCACACAAGAAGTTAAATCCAGACCAAAGGCAAACAAAGAAAGCGGGTAGCTCCTTGGATAGTTCCAAGTGCCACCTAAACTCGGAGGCAGACTTTAATGCTTCTCCATCAGTAAATCCCCACAGAGAACTGCAGTGTCCTTTGGTAGCTAATCCCACTCCTTGTGAGAGGCACCTCTGCTGTTTCAGCAGCCACTGGTTCCAGGGGAGAGGGAAGGCAAGGTTTCTGAGCTGGAGTCCTTCAAGCCTGAGAAAGGTAATATGACCTATTGAGGCTGGAGGTTGCTGGAACTCCAAAGGTGGTAGGAATGTCAAAAGGCATAGTCTCCTACTGGCCTTAGAGAGTCTTGAATCTGTGGCCTCTTCCATTGAGGATGGGAAGTCAGAGCCCTGAATCATGACAGCAATGCATGGAGTGGACCATTTACTAACTGAGTAGACTTGGGTTGGCACCAATGCGACACAGATTGAAGAATGCTGAAGCCCACTAGACTTGATGGCCTTAAGCTTACTCAATAGGATTTAAGTACCAAGACAACCACAGACTTGTAGAGTTGAATTGGACCACAAGGTGATCTAGTCCAACCTCCTGCAATGTAAGAATCTTTGACCCAGCATGGGGCTCAAACCCACAACCCTGAGATTAAGAACTTCATGCTCTACCAACTGATCTATCCCTCAGGAATTGTTCTCTGTCTTTCAGCCTTTGTTGTTTACCATACTATGAAGATCAAGGAAACATTGGCTTGCTTCCAGAGATCCTGGATGCTTCTGTTGGTGGAAGAAAGGAGGCAACTTCTCTCCCTGTCCACAAATCTTCTTTATAAGGGTTGGGGGAGCCACTCCAGATTAGTGTGTGGGGAGGTTGTATGGGAAATCTGCTAACAGAAGGAGCCCTTTCATTCATGGAAGAGCAAATATGGATCCAAGCCACTGAGAGTCTGAATGAGATAAGGACTGTAAATGTATATATAATATAAACGGTCTTATTATCCCCGCCCCCCTGCATGTCCAGCATGTTTTAATTGAGGATAGGAATTGTAATCTCCATTCCCAGTGGTTAGGTAACAGTGTCGTTTCCTCTCTGGTTTAAAAAGCAGAATCAAGAACAGGATTTATTATTATTATTTTTGGTTCCATAAGCCAATGGCATATTTGTTTGTTTGTTTTTCATTCAGGAGATCTGATCTTTGAGTTTAAACTATATTGCCTGTAGAAAGGAAGGTTTCCTTATTAATAGCTGCAAACAAGCACATCTTAGATGCAATTTGTATATTACAGCTACTTTATAATTTCAGATATTCACATTCAAATTGGCTCTCTGGGATTAAACATAAAACCCCGCATAGCTGAGTTTTTGGTTTTTTTAAAAGCCAAAATCCCGACTGTTCTTCTTTTAACCTTGTAACTTTATTGTAGCTTGTGTCATTGTATTAAATAACATTTTATTAGGAAAACCGAAATGAACTGAATTGTTAAGGTCAAGCTGTAGGCTACAGGCATTCTGCCAGCAAAAGCTCGATTTGTACCATGCTGTTTTCGGTCTCTGCCGGCCTGATCCTCTTAACATTCCAGGGATAGAAACCCAGTTTAAGTGAACAGAACTTGCACTGGTAAAGCAGCTTGGATAATTGGTTATGTGACAGTAAATTATAGTTTATGATCAGGCTTATGTTTCAAATTTGTTGCGACAAGTCACAGACATTAAGATAGTAATCAGGGAAAATTCAAGTTGTTCAAAGCAAATTGCACAGCATATTGTAAATAGACAATGGCTAGCAATATGATTGAGATCTTAGGCTTTCCTATCTTTATCTTTATTTGCAATTACTTTTCCATCAGTGGTTCAAAAGTTCTGATTGACATTCTTCTTCTTTCCCTATAAAGCCAGCTTTCAGATGAGTGCACCACATGATGCTAATTCTAGGTTTACTTTTAGTGCAGCTGTACAGAAAGATGGGGGGGGGGGATGTTAAACATTACAGTTTGAATATGACTTGCTAGTAGCTGTAATAAAAGGTTTAACACCAGTGTAGTTAATCCATAAAATACCCATAACATTAAGTCTGACTTTGTAGAAATAGACTGTTATTATACAGCATACTTTCTAAAAATGATTATGTATATTAAAAAGCCTTCAGAATAGCAGTGTATTGAAATTATTTCTCATTTTCTTCTAAAGGAAAAGTATTATGTCAGGAAAATAAAAACACATACTCATACTATCAGCATTTGAAAATCCAGATTTACAGGCTCACTCTCCCACCCCCAACTTTCTGATCTTTGGGTAAATACAGATTAACAATTTACCAGATAGTAAAATGTATTGAAATACGTGTTTAAAGAAGACTACAATTTCATGCATTAATGGGGGGGGGGGAGCAAGGAAGAAGAAGGCTATGACACAATGAAAACAAAGGGGGTGGTTTGTGGCAACTTCTTTCAAGGAGGAGAGGAAGGAATAGCAATGAGCAGATCCATCTACTTTCAGTCCATGTCAGCTGCACACGTTTTCATTCCTAAATCCAATTAATCTGTCTTTTTTCAAGTACAAATATCATAAAATACATGTTTCTAAATATATTTCATCCTAAATTAGTATTTTTAATGCATTTTATGCTTTTGGTTACATTTCTAACTGCAGACCCTCCAAGTGTCCAGGGACATCCCTGATTTAGAGAAGCTGTCCTAGTTTCTGATTTGATCCTGGAATGTCCCAGGACGTCCCTATTTTCATTGGTGAAAAGTTGGAGGGGATGGAGTTATCCAACCCCTGAGCTGTCTGATGGCAATTCTGTATAGGGAAGCTTTTAAAAAATATTTAATGTTTTTATATATTTTGGAAGCTTCCCAGCATGGCTGGGGCAACCCAGTAAGATGTGTGGGGTATAAATAGTAAAATTATCATTATGGAATGGGATGTTAGAATGGGATGTCCCTATTTCCATCGGAAAAATGTTGGAGGGTATGATATTGCAGAATTTGCATAAAACACCACACATTTTTATTGTGACCAGACAGCTTGAGAGAAACCAGATCAGGCATTTGGTTTGGGGCTCCGCCACCCCACCCCACCACCAGCTTCTTTATCTTCTCTTAGAGAACTGATATTTGGTCAGTTTATTATACTTGCACAAAAGAGCTGAAGGGCCTGTCAAAACAGAACTCTTCAGCTAGAAGCTCAGATACTGCACGTACAAGCCAGAGCTGTGTTTGCTAGATCAACACAAAGAACTCTGGGACACAATTTTTCAATTCCTTTGCTAACTAATTACACATAAAGTCAGTTATTGCCAACTCAAGGGGGTTTTTGCCTGCAATTTTCTTTGAACTGTGGAATCTGAAGAGAGAATGACCACATGCCAGGTAATGCTGACCTTTCTGGATGCGCTGTTAAGGAAGCACGGTGAGTTAGCCATCTCCTTAGGCAGTCAATCAGCCTCCCATAGAACACTGGATATATATATATATATATATAATTATTCACAGATTATTTTCCCCACTCCTCTTTGAGATCTCAGTGCAGTTTGAATGGGAGCAAATTCTTATTTCAAATAAAAGAAAATAAAAAGAAATAAAAAGATACAGAAAAGGAAATGTCATCCTAGCCATTCCATAGTGAGATGTGGTTCCTTAATTAATCAAATGTTTCCACTATGGGGTACAAATCTAACTGAATATGGGTGTTCACTTTGTGGCCTAATGATCATGTAGTTGACACGGTTTTTCAGCATAATGCAAGATGCATTTATTTGATTTACCTTTATGTTCACTTTAAAAAAAATTAACAACCAAGGGAGTTATATTATACACCGGTGTCATTTTTTATTCAAACTTCATTCATTTTATTTATTAAGCTTGATTTGCTGTTTTAAGTAGTAATTTAGGGAAGCTGCCCATAATAAATGTTGTACAGTTGTTTCCCATATCCCATGTGTTACAATAGTGATTCCCATAGCAGCATAGATTACACGCACTGTCTACGTGCGTTTTAAAACACTCCCATACACACATTTGTAAACCTTGATTGGGTTTATAAACATAGCAGTTTTCAGAGTAAGGTATTTAACCGGAAATGGCTGCAGCTTCTTTCTTTAATCTTTCTCCTTCCAGAAATATCCCCAGCCTCTTTAAGTGCCTGGGAGCAGCCTCAGCCTTTGGCAAGCCATGCCATCCTGTCTCCTCACAATGCTACACTGGCTGCAACAGTGTGTCATTATGATGCAGCAGCATTATTCTAGGTGCACAGTGTGCAGAGAGTGGGGTAGATGACAGTCTTGTTTGTTTATTAAAGCTACTGAGCATTTGCACATCAAGAAAAGAAGCAGAGAGCCAGTGTCAGTGACAGCTGACTCGCCCTCTCTCCCTTGGCTGGGCACCATTGCTATGACTTGAGCAGTCTTTGGTTAACACAGATGGGAAGAAATTTTGCCCTCCACATTACTGGTCATTGTGGAGGGCATCCTCATAGCATTGGGTCACATTTTTGTGTCGTTACACCTCTCTATACAGGCTGGCCGTGGTTTTATGGGTTTCTGGTCTCCTAATCTTGCCCTCACTCCCTACCAGCCATGGACTACAAATAAAATGTGCCCTGCTTTTCACCAATACATGTCTCTGCATTGGGCTCCTGAGCACTTATTCCCTGATCAAATGCAAAAGGATATTGCATTTTGTTTTTGTCTTTAAAACTTTGTTATGTTTTCCCCCCTACAACAAACCTCTACTCCAATTCTTTTGGACTAAACAAAGCATCTGGATATGTATATATTTTATATATGCACAAGCCAATCATTGACTAAGAGGTACTTTTTCTAAGCTCCCCACTGGTGAGCTTAATAGCAAACCACACAGGACATTAATGAGGTTACCCTAATTATTCTAAGACACAACTGAATAGCAACAAAATGGTAGAGTATAATTGCTCTTGGATAAGCTAAGGATCCCCAGGATATTGTAAGCAAATGATGATAGATCCAGGGATTCTTGCCCCATTCTGAGTTTCATACTGTACCCTTGGTGTCTCAGTCTGGGAGGAACAGAGGGGAAAGAATCCACTGATGTGTTTTTAAGGGTTGCTAGTTCACATCCCTGCATGCCCTCTTTCCAAGGAGAGTGAAGGAGCAGGAGGATTATTCTGCACAGACAATCTGTATGTAAATTATAAGAGGCTCAATCTTCCACTGTCTAAATAAACAAGATAGATGTTTTAGTGGTATTTGCTACTTATTTCTTTTTCTTTTTACTTTCTGAGTAAAATAAAGCTAAATGCATGCTTTCTTTCCCTTAAATCTCCCTTCCTTCAAAAGCTCCACCCATAAAATCCTTCTGCAGTTTGAACACATGCTTTTTTTGCTGTTTTTGTTTTGGTAAAACTGTGGAAAGTTTAAGGTTTGAACTCTTGTCAATTACACTCCTGTCAGTTTGAACTCTTTTCTACATAGTTTTAAGTAAATGGTTTCAATCAAGGGTAGGGAACCCTTTTTCTGTTGGTAGGCACGCTCCCTTGTGGGTATTCCTCATGGGCCACATGCTTGTGGAACATAGGAAACTGCCATACGCTAAGCAAGTCAGACCATTGGTCTATCTAGATCGGTAATATATACAGTGACTGGCAGTAGTACTCAAAGAATCCCGCCTGGAGATGTTGGGCATCGAACCAGGGACCTTTGGAATG